CCACCCCATTTTTTTCCCCTCCAGGCCTGCCCCTCCCCAGTTTTGGGGAAATCTATGTATCTTCTCTCACAATCTTAAAGTGACTGAAAATTCACTCATTTATGAAAGTTGTCCTGAGCACTGTACTTGCATTTTTAGACTAGATTAAGTGAAGGGAGATAACAATGTTTTAAGAAACTTATCACAGAGTGTGTATTCCAAACATTATCCATTGATCAGAGAGAGGACAGCATCAACCTGAGGATTCTAAGAATAGCCAGAAACCCTCCTGTGATCACCAGACTGATGTCATCCCCACTGCATTAGTTAGGTTTTCGTCACTGTGGTCAAAATACCTGCTCAGAACCACTTGGAGAAGGAAAAGTTTATTTGGGGCTCAGGGTTTTGGAGGTTTGGTCCATATTTGGCTGATTTAATTACTCTCGGCCTGAGGTGAGGTGGAACGTCATGGCAGACGGGTATAGTGGAGAAAAGCTGTTCAGCTCATGACATCCAAGAAGCAGAGTAAAAGCGCAAGGAGCCAAGGACAAGATCTAGTCCCCAAGGCCCACCCCCAATAACCTACTTCCTCTACCTGCCTACAGTTACCACCTAGTACAATAGTCCTTTAAATTATTAGTCCATCAAGTGGGTTAATCCACTTATTAGGTTACAGCTCTCATAATCTATTGTCACCTGTGAACATTCCTACTTTAGATATTATGTTTCTAATACATGAGCTTTTGGGGGGGCACTGTAAATCCAAACCATAACACCCACATAATTTTCCATGCCCACCCCTCACAAAGTTGCCTTTAAAAGAAGAGCCCCAAATCCCCAAGGTGCATCTTACTCTCTGGATAGCCTGTATTTAGCCCTAAATGTGTACTCCATTGGAGATATCTTGAAATTCTTTTCTGTAACAGTTGTCAAGGACCCCATCATCCTGAGTTAAGATCTCCGCTTCTGGGATATCATTGGACTCATCTGGTGACAGTCTCACTTTGAATCCAAAGCCATTGTCAAAAGACTTTCCCAAATCTAGATAGGACAGGAGGAAATTTGCAGAGGAACATTAAATGATTTTATGAGTGTATAATTACAGGACTTCCTGATCTGCATTAGCAAGTTCATGTGTTAGCACTAACCTTAGACACTAAGAATCGGGTGGAGAAAGTAGGATTGGAAGCTCTTAAGAACGATTCAAAGGACTCTGCGTGTCACAGGAAACCAGAGGGGTTTACCAAAGCTGTACATGTTGGATGGATAGGGTCTTTCAGAGTCCAACCCTGAAGTCTTCCCCCAGAATGCAGATCAGACTCTAATCCTGATGCATGCAAAGAAAGGGTGTGTCCCTGGGAGACTTTGGAGAGAGGCTGGTTACACCTGCAGACATGATCAGGAGATCTTGAAGCCCATGGACCCCAACTCTCCTTTCACTTTTTACAAATAAATACTGTCAAGCCAGAAGTTGGATACTCAATATGGAAGCACAGACTGAAGTCGGAAATCACACCACCGCTGGAACTCCCAACATCTTGCCGAGCATTTTGAAGACAGCTTAGGACAAAAACAAAGTAGAAAGTAGAATACATTTATGGTTTTACAGATAAAACATCTGAGTGCTCCCACCTCTATGTATCTCCCTCCCAAATCTATGTATCTTCTCTCACAATCTTAAAGTGACTGAAAATTCACTTGTTAATGAACTTCAAAAGAGGAGTCTCTAGATAAAGGTAATGATAGGTATTTGTTTAAGAAAGACCTGGAATGAAGAATGGCCCTGACTTTGCTGAGCAAACAGAGACAATAGGTAAAAATGAAGTGATTGATCAGTGAGGTTTCAGAGGACACTGAGATTAACTGCTTATATCAATTTTATGTTAAAAACATGCTATCAATTTAGGAATTCAAACTGCTATGTTTTTGATATGTTAAAAAGATAAACTCAGAAACATAACTCAAATGATTTGAATCTGAATCTACTTGCTTTAGGTACAATTTTGCAAATGAGACTAGTTTATTATTTTTGACTGATAAATAAATTATGTCTCCTTTGGCCCATGAAGGTAAAGTATAATAGAAGCTCCTATTTTATTCTACTTGGGTATGTTTTTTAAGTCTGTGTATATTAGCTGATTGAATAAGGCTGTATTCTACTTAAAGTTTGTGGTTATAAAAAATGAAAATTTGTGTCAATTTATTCTGAGAATTTTATCGCAATAGTAGTATGTTTTGAAATATATCAGCTGCAAAGGCAAATTAGTTTGAGTTAATGACTGGATATTCATTAATAACTAGGTAATTTGTAAGAAATAGAGTGAGTAATACTGAAATATTAAAAATCACTAAGCATGAATTCAAGTTTACATACCTTTGCTTTCTTATTTTTATCTGCTATTACAGAGGTATAACAACTGTCTCTCCTGTTGGAAGGTTCAACGATCGTGTCTTTGAAATAGACTGATTAACAGGCAGACTGACAAAGAGCATGCAAATTTATTACAAGCACAGCAGCATCATGAGGAAGGAGCACCGATAACCCAATGAGGTTTAGAAGCTCAGTCAGGGGAGAAGAAATGGGGGATTTTTAGGGGCTCCGGACAGGTCTCAAGCAAGGGATAGAGTTTATGTGGGGCTTGAGTGGGGTTTTAATTCAAGCTATTTCTTTCCTGAAAATTAATCTTCTGGAGGAACCAGGCTTTAGGTAGACAGGGGAATACTGAAGAAAGACCCCCTCCCCTCACAATTGGGGGGAGAAAGAGGAACAAGAGACAGAGGGGTGGGAGGTGTCATAAGTTTGAGGCCAGCCTCAGAAAGAGAACTGTGGGATGTAGCTCAGTGGTAATGCACCCCTGGGTTCAATCCCCAGTAGCAAAAGGAAAAAAAAAGGAAGTCAGAATATGTCACCCCCAAAATATGCCACGTTGGTATAAGGATTATTTTATGCAGAAGCCAATTGAGAATCAGTGACCCAGGAAGAACTCTGCCTCCTCCCCCACCCCTAAACATTTCCCTGTGAAAGTGACACGGATTCCCATTTGTTAAGGTGGTCCC